AGATGACCCGAGAGTAATAGAGGACATACGGACGACACTTCGCCATTACTTCTCAGAAAACTCTACTATAGACGTAACCGACGCATGGGTGTGGGAGGCACACAAAGGGGTGATAAGGGGTATCCTGATTAAATGGGGTTCTAGGATCAAGAAGGAACGAGCACAAAAGCAGACAGACTTGACACTAGCCATACAGGAACAAGAAACACTGCACAAACAGACCCCCACGCCAGAGATCTTCCACATACTGACAGGTCTCCGAATGGAACTCCGTTCCCTTCTATCCCTAAAAGCACATAGGGCTGTCCAGATGACGAGAGGATCTTTCTATGCGCAAGGGAATAAAAGTGGGAAACTATTAGCGCGAGCACTGAAGACTAAGCTCCAAAAATCTTTTATAACTCACATTAAAAACGGACAGGGGAAACAATGTAACACCACTGACGAAATAGCAGACGCATTTAGCAACTTTTATCACAACCTTTATAACCTCACACCCCCCACAGGCACCCCCTTAGACTTACAGGACTACTTAAGGGCCAATATACCACACAAGGTTCTGCCCGTGGCATCCCAGGCTCTTGAGGAGCCCTTTACCCATAAGGAACTCTATGCAGCGATCAAAACAATGCCGAAAGGAAAGAGCCCCGGCCCAGACGGCCTAACAGCCAGATATTATCAGGCACTGATAGAGGACCTGGGACTTCACTTTCTTAAAATGATCAACGGGTTAGAACAGGGCGCCTCTCTCCCTGCCCCGATGCTACGCGCATCTATCACCATCATTCCCAAACCTGGGAAGAACCCGGAAGCTTGCGGCAGCTACAGACCCATCTCTCTTATTAACCTAGACCTTAAACTCATAGCCAAAATGTTAGCTAACCGTATTAAACCATTATTACCGGAATTGATACACCCCGACCAAGCGGGTTTTGTGCCAGGAAGGGAAGCCAGGGATAACACCTCTAGAATCATAAGTATCATACATGGAGCCAATACCAACCACACCCCCACAATACTACTGGGCATAGACGCTGAAAAAGCTTTTGATAGGGTAGACTGGAAGTACCTATTTGGAGTACTGGAGAATCTAGGTCTAGGTCCCAAATTAAGGAACTGGATACGCGCACTATACATGGGTCCGACCGCCACTGTACGGGTCAATGGGCAACACTCCACCCCCTTCCAAATAGGAAACGGCACCCGCCAGGGATGCCCACTATCCCCTCTCCTGTTCGTCTTGGCGATAGAGCCTTTTCTGACAGCTATCAGGAACAACCCCCAAATTAAGGGACACCGCTATCCAGGAGGAGAGGTAAAGGTCTCTGCATTCGCAGACGACGTGCTCTTCTCGGTCACGGACCCGCTCCACACACTGACACAAGTACAAATAGAAATAAACAAATTTGGCACACTATCGAATTTCAAAATCAACACAGAAAAATGCGAGATACTAGGACTCTCCATACCATCGACCTTACAGGCCCAAATCAGGGAATCCCATAACTTCGCCTGGGCCCAGAAAAGCTTGACATACCTTGGTATCCGCCTCACCCCGTTACTCAAGGATCTGTACAGTCAGAACTTCCCGACACTCATAGATACTATAGCCCAAGACTTCAAAAAATGGGACTCACCCCAATTCTCATTAATGGGCCGGGTCAATATAATAAAAATGATGACCCTACCGAAAGTGCTATACCTGTTTCAGACCCGCCCAATCCCTCTACCGGGAGAATTCTTCCGACGCTTGAGATCCATATTCGTAAAATTCACATGGGGAAACAAACCTGCGAGGTTGGCATACTCGACAATAACAGTGCCACCGGGGAAGGGGGGGTTAGGCTTACCTCACCTATACAAATATTACGTAGCAGTTCTCCTCACACGAGTCAGGGACTGGAATAAGGTCGACACTCCTAAAGCCTGGTACAATCTTGAACAGAGCTATGCGACGGTCCCTCTCCACACGCTCCCTTGGCAGACATGCCAACTCACAACACTCACCCCAACACACCATCCCCTCATACATAACACACTCCGGACATGGAGGAGACATAGAGAGGACTGGGGACTATCTCCCGGTCTATCCCAGTTTTTTCCCCTGGCCAACAACCCAGACTTCCAAAATGGTCAGGGTAGCACTACTCTAACCCGGGTCACTGGAGAGGCCTGCCCAGAAGTAGCGACGGTCTTCACAGGAGATGACCCTCCTAAAATAAAGGCCTTCCTCACACCAGGTAACAGGGGAACATTACTAGACATTATGGCCAAAGCACAACTAACCCACTTCTTGACCCAATCGGTCCTCCCGTTTTGGAGGAAAAGGGACAAGACACTCTTCGAATCCCTCTGCTCCCAGGGCAATAAAACAAAACGGCCCCTATCGGCCATCTACCGCCTCCTCCAAATGGAAGCAGCGGATACACCCAGACCCTCATACCAACGAAAATGGATGAGGGAACTCCACATTCACATGACGCATAGTGACTGGGCACACATCATGACCTTAGGGATGAAATCCCCGCTAAGCATTGCTCGCAAAGAAACATTTTACAAACGGGTCACCAGATGGTATAGAACACCAGCCCTTCTCCACACCTACTGGCCCACAGTAAGCGACCAGTGCTGGAGGTGCGAAAGAGCAGAGGGCAACATGGAACACATATGGTGGAGCTGCAAGAACATAGCACCATTCTGGGACCTGATACTTACAGACATTAAGAAAATCCTATCCATGAGGGCACATATATCCCCCTCCCAGGTACTTCTAGGGTGGCCTCGGGCACTGATAGACCCGTATAAACAGCAACTCCTAAACACCCTCCTAGGCGAGGCCAATGCACTTATACCTATGCTCTGGCGACAACCACAAACACCCTCTAGAGACCAATGGGTCCAAAGGGTGGAGAGGACCAGAGAGCTAGAGGAGATCCACTGGTCAACACAGGGTAAGAGAACTAAATATCTCAAAATTTGGAAACCCTGGCTCTCCTACTGGGAATGCCCCTCGCAGGAAACGCACTCATAACCAGCTGCAGCGAGAGTATTTAATCCAGTCTTATACGGAAATCCAAACACTTTACCACAGAGGGCCGGAGAACTCGAGATTCCGGACTCTAAACTTCTATATAGGCAGGTAGCGACAGGATCCCCTACTTCCCAACCACCGCCCTCACCCTGTTCACCCCCTTCCCACCTGCTCCATCCCCATCACCACACTTCGTTAACATAGAACAGGTTCAAGAATACGAAACTACTCTGTTTTAATCATTCTGTATAACTCTGCAAGACCCCCACTATGTTATATTTTTGCCAATCCCTTCTCTATTCTGTACCCCATGCAATGATTTTACGTATTGAAAACACAATAAAAATGATATAAAAAAAAACAAAAAAAAAAAAAACATTCAGACAAGTACAATATTTTGTAATTATAGAGTCTCTGACAATAGGGATATCACTACTCACTTGTTATTTTGTTTCCAAACATTTCATTTTCCTATCATATCATTTAATTATCAACTAGCTCTGGGTTTTAATTGTTTGTTCTATAGCAGGTTAACACACTGGTGCAGTTCTTGCAAGTTGCAGTTTTACAATTCTCTTAACCATTTCATTGCTTGGTCACCAAGCAAATGCATTTATTTTTGAAAAGCAGACAGCCACAGGGATTCGAGTGTCGGCCACTTTGACGTTTTTCATAATCCAATTTTATCACCAAACACATCCACATTATTTTCTTTTTTTTTCCAAATACGCACTGGTAATAATGAAAAGTTGCTAAAATTTTCTATTCTGAATATGTATGTAGGAAATTCCCTGTGCTTACATCCCATAAGTACATCAATTCTGCCACGAATATGCTAGCACGTTTTGTGGTTCCTAACCTCTGCAATTTGACCAGTTGTTTTGGTGGGACCCTGGGTCACATTGGGCAGTTTTGCAGTCAACCAATTCGAACTCCTTCAGCAGAAGTATACACTTATTAAACGTAAACAATCCCAGGTATTTGACATGTCATATTACGGCTTGTTTCCATTTCCCCAGTGTATATTTCTGCAGAGGAATGTAATAATAATATTATTATTTCTAAGTTTTGGACACACACACACATTACATTACGGATGTAGATTTGTTTCCACAGTGTGTGTGCCAAAATAGGAAAATAATACAGTTTACATTCAATTATCTTATTTAAATAGCACACAAAAAGGATTAATTTTAAAAACACAGACATGAGTGGTGTTCTACTATCTACTTTCTATACATTCATTTCACACCACTATTAGTAGTGGATATCTCCCCCACCACAATAAAAATTAACTACTTAGTAAATATATACTTAAAGGGCACCTGTTTTTTTTTTTTTTTTTTTTTTTTTTTTTAATTCTTTATTTTTTGTTATGCAGGTGGTTACATGTTATCGACAGACGCCACAAGAGCGTATTACAAGTTTTCACAGTAGTCAGACAGTGGCATTATAATTCGCACAAATTTTATATTTTGCAAGCTTAACTAAACAGTTATTTTGTAAGAGTAAGATAAAATAAAATTAAATGAAATAGAGATGCTGGTTGCTTAATACTGCTAGGTCATCTATGTTAGTGTAGGTATGGTGTGTTAACACTTTGTGTGGGATAGCAGTAGTTGGTTACACAATAATGCTAAGTAATGCTTAGATACGTTATGCTGTGAGAGTTTAGGCTATGAGGCATTGTATAATAGATCACATTGCTAAAACTTGCCTATACTGCATAATAACATCGCTTTTCACTCCAAACATGAGTGTCTTGAGGTGTAACAAAACATTACTTAGGATAAAACCACCGGGAACAAGTTTAGTCACAAATATCCTTAGGATCAAAGGTCAGTGCTGGCATGGGATTGTAGTCTGCATTAGGTATGCATGAGGCATCTGAGTCTGGGTGCTTCGCTATTATGAGAGCTCGGAACAGTCCAGGCTAAGAGTACCTGTGGAGGGCGGTATATTGGGTGCTTCAACCGATAACTATTGCTGGTAAGAGCCAGACTTTTTCCCTATGTGCCTTTCCAGTGTCGCCCCTTGGCTTGCTGACGCTGCTTCGGGAGTCGGCTCTGGCGGTGCCCCGTGGAGTCTGCTGCCGCACAGTCGCTTGTGTTGTCTCGTTCTGTGCGTGGAGTCGGTTCATGCTGCGCTGGATGCCGGAATTTTGATCAGGTGATTTGCTTGTTTGCGACGGCTGTTTTGTAATTCCGGACGATTTAATTTGTGAGCAAGGGAGTGTGCCCGATAGGCCTGCCGCCATTTTTCGTCTCTGGGCCCGCTGGTATCTGTGTTGCAACATGGCCATTTTGGAGGCTTGTGGCGTCTGCCTATAGTAGCTCCGTCGTGCTGCGGGCCGCATCCACGAGGTCACAGTTATCTCAGCTTGACAGTAGGTCGCTCACTTACTCTGCAGGGCATCCCTGGAGCTTGTGCAGAGGTGGTAAAATGTCTCCAGAGGGGACATGGGTAGCTGGATGCGGGTGCTCCGCTTTCTGTGTTTATGCTGGGCGGCCATCTTGGATTTGCCCTGGGGGCCAGTTGCCCCAGTTTGTTTTGTGTCTGGATCGCCTGCTTGCCGTTGTGTCCAGTGGGGACCGGGATATCCCCCGCCGGTCCAAAGGGGGGGATAGGTTGAAGAGAAGTCGCTTAGTGGCTTTTGTGTCGAGGAGAGCAACTGCCTCTCCCCGGCTTCAGACTCAGTAGGCCGCATTTGTGTCTCTGTGTTCCTGGCCTCTACAGGCCCCGGGATGGTAGCGTTGAATTCAGGAGGGCTCCCCCGACGTGGGTGGTGCACCCCTGAGTGGCATTGGGCTAAGTAGTCACTGTTTTTGCCCCGGATTGTGCCCACTCGGCAGGAGCCCATGTCAGATGCGTCTGCACGGTTAGGTGGTCAGGCTCCACCCCCTGTTTTATTTTTTATGTATAGGTATTTGGGATAGTGCGCAAGTAGAAAAAGAAATACGGTCACATTTGCAATCTTCGATCCTATTGTCTACTTACAGGTCTATGTTTTGATGAAGCCAAAGCATACCTTCAATTCACAATATCTCTTACCATTTATCAGTATGGTGGGGGATCGGTCCACATCATACTTCCAAAGTGACCCTATTTGAAAAGAAAAGATCCTATTCTGGGCCCAAATTCCTCTTGTCTTTTTTTATATCCTAATGTCCCGCTTTTCTATGAGCTCCATATTGTTGGTGTGTCTGATGTATAACACAGGTTCACAGTAATAATACAATAATTTGTCTTTAGACTACAATAAATGGGGGGGGGAGGCTGACCGCAGAGCCGAATGGATGCAAGTTCCAGCAGCTCCTGCTCTAAACCGCAAATAAAGCCGATATCCGCATCTAAAACTTGACCAAAACCACACAGAAAGGCTACCTGGGGAGAGGTGACACTGCGGTGCTCAAAATGGTACCACACAAGCGACACTTCATGCAACCCTCACCTCACCCTCTTGTGCGGCCTACAAGCCTGGTCTGTGCGTGGGAGGCAGCCCCTCCCTCGCTGACACACACAGCTGGAAACCAGACAAAAGACCCTCGTCCCCGTCCCCCCACCTGCGACACGGATAAAGCACGACTGCCGCAGAGGCCCGAGTGCCAGCACAGCTCTCAAAATGGCAGAGGCAGCGTGCTCCTTAAGTCCTGGAGGCGTAAAGTCTGAAATATATAGCTCCGGCTGGACAATACTTTTCACGCATTCTGAGTAAGGTTGGAAGCACACCTACACCCTATAGACCCAGAGAGCTTACCTGAAGCTTCACTGCAAAGCCCAACTCATGAGGCCGACCAAAGACCAATCACTCATCTCCACCACCGGCCCGTTTGATAAGACAGAACCGGCGGGAACCGGCCATGAAGGTGGCAAAGAGGAGTCTCTCGGGAGGCAGCAAGCGCCGGACGCCAACTCCCAGGATCCTGCAAACACTTATGCCAACACACACCAGCACTACCTCAAACCCAGAAATGAGAGTCTGTATCCAAGTGAACTGACTAGCCCAAGCTGCAGCTCGTCTGTACAGGACTGTGCATTACCCATACAAGGAGTGGGCTGATCGGGTTCAGAGGAGTGAGTCTAACCTGGGCCATGTTCCACCTCATTGCCTACCTTGCATGTACTGCTTAATACCTCTGAAGCTTGATCTCCCAGGCAAGACTGTTTTTCCTGGTTAGGATCTGCATGTTCTGCATTTTCATGTGTTCCTTCTAACATATAGACGAAGGGGGGTCTCCTGGGGACAATAACTTTTAGCAATATGACCTAGCATGACTTCTACATGTTTTACTTTAATTTATCTACAATTGAATCATCTGCATGTCTCCCTTATCTTGACTAACAACCTACTCCATAATGGGACAAGTCAGTTATGTTAAGCCTGTTTATAAAACAAAAATGTGCAATTTTTCATGCCACTATTTCGCCTTTATGTACACATATATGATGTTGTGGTGTTTGATGATGATATGTGTTCACCTGCACATAAAAAAAAAAATACATTAAATGTTTTTTGAAATCAGTCTGTGTAAATAAGATACATTTTTTAATTCTAAATTACATTTCAGTTGCACAAACTGTTATTATTAAATCACCTACAATCTCTTACAACAGCCTTTCCAATGCAGCTCAATGAAAAGTTACATAGTTACATAGGCTAAAAAGAGACATGCATCCATCAAGTTCATCCTTCCTCACATTTGTTTTTTGCTGTTGATCCAAAAGAAGGCAAAAAAAATTCCAATTTGAAGAACACCCAATTTTGCAACAAACTTGGAAAAAAGCCTTCTTGAGCCCAGAATGGCAGTCAGATTTATCCTTGGATCAATAAGCTATTACCCCACAATTTAAAAATGATATACCTGAATATTATGTTTTTGCAAATATGCATCCAATTAATGTTTAAACATCTGCACAGATTCTGATAAAACCACTTCTTCAAGCAGATATTTCCAAAAGTGATATGATAACATTATACAAATATATTTGGGGCCAGTACAAACCATTATCTGGAAATCTATTCACAGGGCTATACATAGGACACGAGGTCATGCATTTAGGCTGGAAGAAAGGAGATTTAATCTAAGGCAAAGGAAAGTTGTTGTTTATTACAGTAAGAACTATAAGGATATAGAATTATCTGCTTGAAGAGGTAGTTTTATCAGAGTCCATACAGATGTTTAAACAGCAATTGGATAAATACTTCCAAAAACATAACTTATAATAATTTCTAATTAGTGGGGTAATAGCTGCTTGATCCAAGGAGATATCTGGCTGCCATTTTGGGGTAAGGAAGGATTTTTTCCTAGTTTGTTGCAAAATTGGAAGCACTTCAGACTGGGATTTTTGCTTTCTTTTGGATCAACAGCAAAAACATATGTAAGGAAGGCTGAACTTGATGGACACAAGTCTCTTTTTAGCTTTGTAACTATGTAAGTCTTTGCAAGGCAGGTTCTACCTCTTGAGTTTAGCTCAACTGAGATAACCAAACCAGGAAGTAACAGGACCAGTTGTTTGCTTAAAAGCCATGGTGTATAACCAGGTTAATTTATAAAAGTCTCAATTTCTTTTGAAATCTGCCCATCTGCAAAATGAGAAAAGAGGACACAACTTTCAAACATAATGCTATTCAGCAAGCTAAAGTGCTTTAGGGGCCTGTTCCATAATACAAACCTATAGATACATGTATTTGGAAAACATCAACCGCTATAAAAGAGTTCAACTCCACCCCTGATTCTGTTATCCAATGACCGCACTAGAAGACTTGGCAATAAGCATGCCTGCATGTTAAAACATCCATGATCTGATGGCTCCATTCAAAGCTTGTGCGAAGTCTCTTCTGCCTTAAAACGTGCATTTAGAAAAAATGTCCCAAAATCTTAAGATGAATACAGGGAGTGCAGAATTATTAGGCAAGTTGTATTTTTGAGGATTAATTTTATTATTGAACAACAACCATGTTCTCAATGAACCCAAAAAACTCATTAATATCAAAGCTGAATATTTTTGGAAGTAGTTTTTAGTTTGTTTTTAGTTATAGCTATGTTAGGGGGATATCTGTGTGTGCAGGTGACTATTACTGTGCATAATTATTAGGCAACTTAACAAAAACAAATATATACCCATTTCAATTATTTATTATTACCAGTGAAACCAATATAACATCTCAACATTCACAAATATACATTTCTGACATTCAAAAACAAAACAAAAACAAATCAGTGACCAATATAGCCACCTTTCTTTGCAAGGACACTCAAAAGCCTGCCATCCATGGATTCTGTCAGTGTTTTGATCTGTTCACCATCAACATTGCGTGCAGCAGCAACCACAGCCTCCCAGACACTGTTCAGAGAGGTGTACTGTTTTCCCTCCTTGTAAATCTCACATTTGATGATGGACCACAGGTTCTCAATGGGGTTCAGATCAGGTGAACAAGGAGGCCATGTCATTAGATTTCCTTCTTTTATACCCTTTCTTGCCAGCCACGCTGTGGAGTACTTGGACGCGTGTGATGGAGCATTGTCCTGCATGAAAATCATGTTTTTCTTGAAGGATGCAGACTTCTTCCTGTACCACTGCTTGAAGAAGGTGTCTTCCAGGAACTGGCAGTAGGACTGGGAGTTGAGCTTGACTCCATCCTCAACCCGAAAAGGCCCCACAAGCTCATCTTTGATGATACCAGCCCAAACCAGTACTCCACCTCCACCTTGCTGGCGTCTGAGTCGGACTGGAGCTCTCTGCCCTTTACCAATCCAGCCACGGGCCCATCCATCTGGCCCATCAAGACTCACTCTCATTTCATCAGTCCATAAAACCTTAGAAAAATCAGTCTTGAGATATTTCTTGGCCCAGTCTTGACGTTTCAGCTTGTGTGTCTTGTTCAGTGGTGGTCCTCTTTCAGCCTTTCTTACCTTGGCCATGTCTCTGAGTATTGCACACCTTGTGCTTTTGGGCACTCCAGTGATGTTGCAGCTCTGAAATATGGCCAAACTGGTGGCAAGTGGCATCGTGGCAGCTGCACGCTTGACTTTTCTCAGTTCATGGGCAGTTATTTTGCGCCTTGGTTTTTCCACACGCTTCTTGCGACCCTGTTGACTATTTTGAATGAAACGCTTGATTGTTCGATGATCACGCTTCAGAAGCTTTGCAATTTTAAGAGTGCTGCATCCCTCTGCAAGATATCTCACTATTTTTGACTTTTCTGAGCCTGTCAAGTCCTTCTTTTGACCCATTTTGCCAAAGGAAAGGAAGTTGCCTAATAATTATGCACACCTGATATAGGGTGTTGATGTCATTAGACCACACCCCTTCTCATTACAGAGATGCACATCACCTAATATCCTTAATTGGTAG